ATGAAAACAAAAAAAAAAACAAAACAAAAAAGGTTTTTATGAGTAAACTTCCACTCAGTTTGCTGTCCATGTAGATCTTTAAGGATGTTATCTCAGAGGCACAAAAATTGTACAAAGACGGTGCATCCGATTGCAGTTCCACAAAGCTCACTTCACTCAAATCCTTAAATATGCACAGAAGGAACAAAGCGCAGCGCATGTTTGAATTTTTGCTTACCAGATTCGACATTTTGCTTCCCTGTTCCATCATGAATCAAATGTAGCCACCCAGGAATATTATAAGTGCTACACAGAATGGTTTGACTCCTGAGTAGAACCATAATATTTCACTTTATTAATTTATAATGTGTGCACACACACACCAACAATTACATAATCAATTGACTGTACCAGTAAAAAATTCAATGGCATGGAAAATCAAGTTCCATATTGTATTTACAGTTGTACTGTGCTTATGAATAAATTCTTGACACCATTTTTGTTTGGCTATATGATAGAAGGGCCTGGATTCCAAAAGAGATTAGATGTGGTACTTTCTGATATAAAAAGATATAACAAAAGTTTACCAGAACGTTTCCTGTGAAGCCAGTTGTTTTTAAAGGAAAACATGGCACAGGGGAACATGCAAACCTTTATGAAAGTTAATGTTCGTAAAGAATTCCTGCAACGTGAAGGTACTGTCCTCTGCTCCATTTCTCCCTTGACTCCAAGTAGCAAACAGAATCAAGCTGGTTGATGACTGTAGAGTCCCTGACAAAATTTTCACCGCAGATGTAAGGTGAGCACAATTGTGACAACCGCCCCTATCAACAAGAGGAAGGGGACCCAGGTCTTCAGGAAGCCTCCGACACTAAAAATACACAAAGTATTCAAAATTAAAGTTACAGAGTATTTAGTTAGCTCAATCCTATAGTTAGTATAAATGAGGAATACAGAAGTAAAATAGAGTTAAGCTTCCCTCTTCGATTCAGCCCATCAAACAGATAATGTTCACAGTATTAATATGGTAGGCTGGATAGGTTAGGTTCAAATAGTTAAATAGTAGTAAAGCATTTAAAAGAAATTTTATGTTAAAATGCTGCAGTTGGACTTCATTAGGATGGCACTTGGGCTCTGTCTTAGCATAGATTTCCATCAGAATGCAGCTCAATCTATCCCCAAGCACACACAGTATATTATTCTTATGCAGGATTTATACAGCAACAACAGTTTATGCAGCTCATTAGAACAATCTAATCGAAGGGTCAAGAGATGCAAAAAGTAACAACTGTTGGGGATGGGCTGATAGAGAGAATAAATGTATAGCTGTTACTGTAGGTGGGGGAAGGATGGACCTCTCTGAAGAGATGAGTTTTCAGGGATTGTCTAAAAGTGGACAGAGTAGGAGATAGTCTAACAGATTGGGTTAGGGAGTTCCAGAGGATGGGAGAGCCTCTGGAAAAGTCCTGAAGGCAAGCATGGGAGGAGGTAACAAGGAAGCGAGAGAGCAGGTCTTGGGAGCAACAAAGAGAACAATTTGGTTGGTATTTTGAGTAAAGTTTAATGATGATTAGCTGGTGGCAGAGTTGTGGATGAATTTGTAAGTGGTTGTTAGTATCTTGAAATTAATTTATTGGGTGAGAGGAAGTTAATGAAGGGATCAGCAGAGAGGGGTAGCAGACACTGAGCGGTTGGTAAGATGGAGGAGTCTAGTGGCAGTATTTATGATGGACTGAATGGGAGATAGCCTTTTGAAAGATAAGCCAGTGAGGAGTACGTTGCAGTAGTCGAGGCAAGAGATGACCAGGGAGTGAATTAGAAGCTTTGTTGTGTCATTGGTTAGGAAGGGGCAATGGGGGAGAAAATAGGAGCTCGATTTTGGATAGACTGAGTTTGAGGAAGTTGTATGACATCCAGTCTGATATGTCTGTTAGTAGATTAATGATACGTGAGGAGACTGATAGAGTGAGCTGAGGGGTACAGAGATAGATTTGGGTGTCCTCAGCATAGACATTGGAGGCTATCAACTGACCCAGGGAGGAGGTGTAGATCAAAAATAAGGGAGGTCCAAGAACAAAGCCTTGGGGAACCCCAACGGAGGAAGGAATAGGAGGAGAGAAAGTAGAATTGCAAGGGACACTGAAGGTAGGATGAGAACCAGCGAACAGTACAGTTGCGAAGACCAAAAGGAGCAGAATTTTTTTTTTTTTTTTTGAGGAGGAGGAAGTGGTCCACCATGTCAATGGCAGCAGAAATGTCCAGAAGTAGGAGTACAGAATAGTGTCCATTGATTTTATCCATTAGTAGATTGTGAGTTTTAGGAGAGCAGTTCCCAGAGAGTGTTAAGGGCGAAATCCAGACTGAAGGGGATCAAGAAGGTCGTTCTTAGCGAGATGGTCGCTCAGACGTTTGACCAAGACGTAGACCAAGGAGTTTGGAGAAAAGGGGAGTAAGGAGATGGGGCAAAGGTTATGATTAGTGGAGTGCAGTGAGGGCTTTTCAAGTATGGGGGGTGACTAGTGCATGTTTTAGAGTGTTGGGGAAGATGCCACAGAAGAGAGAGATTGAAGATGTGAATTAGTGTGAGTGTAAGATAGAGCCAAAGGGTGACCATAGCATTTGTGAGGGAACAGGGTCCAGGGGGCAAATGGTTAGGTGGGCGGTAGAAAAAAGTTTAGCAACCTCATCTACAGTGGTGGGGTTGAATGAGGGAAGTAGTGATTATACCTGTGGACATGGAGTGTTAAGTAGGGAAGGTATCTGCACATCAGAGATCTCATCACAAATTGTATCAATATTATTTTTGAAGTGAAAGTCGATCTCCTGGGCAGTGAGTGAGTTAGTGGATGGAAGTAGTGGAGGAAGAAGAAGAAGGCTTAATTTAGATAAAAGTTGACAGGGACTGGATGAGAAGGTGTTAATGAGAGTGATAAAAACAGGTCTTCTTGGCAGTGAGGAGGCAGGAATAGTGTTTTTGGAGTGCAGATTTATATTGGTTAGTCTTTCTGAGACTTAGTCTTACGCCACAGGCGCTCAAGAGTGCTGCTACGTTTTCTGAGACACCTGGTGTCAATCTGTTTGCCAAGGTTGTAAGGATCAGGGCCCAATTCTGTGTGTAGTGAGGGGGCAAGCTTATCTAGGGAGGAAGACAGTGAACTGTTGTAGACAGAAGTGGCTAGTTTGGGGCAAGACAGAGATGAGATTTTGTCATACAGGTGGTCAGTAGCAGAAACCTTTGCCACCTCAACCCTTTTCTGCTTTATTCTATGGGTAACTGTTAGGCCACTGGTGTTAGGCCACTGGAGGGAGAGGAGGTTGAAGACAGGGAAAGTGAAACTAATAAGGTGGTGATCCTAGAGTGGAAGAGGAATGTTGGAGAGATTGCACGAAGTGCATAGGTAGGAGAATACAAGGTCAGAGTGAAAAGAAACATATATCCATTGCTTCAGGTCAAAAAAGGAGGAGGTTAGACTGAGAAGTTTAAAAGTAGTGGGAGTATTAGCATTAACAGGGATATTGAAGTCAACGAGAATGTGGGGGATTTCAAAAAAGAGAAAACAGGGTAGACAGGTAGAGAAGTCATCAAGTCCAAGGTCATCAAGGTTAATACCTGTCAGGGGGGCGGTAAATCACAGCTATCCTTAGAGAAATGGGAGAAAATAGACGAATACAATGTGCATCAAAAGAGGAGAGCGGTGAGTGAAGTACCTAATAGGTGCTGTGTGGTGCTAGAAGGATTCCCACTCCTTCTAGCACCACGCAGGAGAAGGGGGGGTGTTTGGGACGAAGAGGAATGGAAAGTTCCATGAATTGAGGCTGTAGCAGAGTACTGCCCTGTGGCTGTTCTTGATGCTTTGACTAATATGGCGGCATGTAGTAGAGTACTGCTATGCTTGTGCACATGCTGTATTTTTTACCATATGGATCTGAGCATCAAAGAGGACAAAAGCATCAATTGCAAGAAAGTACACAGCGCATGCACGGGGATCATATATCACATTACTGCTAAATGTGTGGGACACATTGGTTGACCACTGGTCGAATGGCACCTGTGCATGCATGATGCATAATCCAAGGCTGCAAACATGGCATCTGGAATCGCCCAAGCAGCCTTCTCTGACCACCTACTGCACTTGCACACTTTTTCTCGAAACAGTCTGTACATGTGCCCCCCACTTTCTTGTTAAAAGGCACCACGCCCACACTCCCGCCATTCATCAAAGCTTCTGTACCCGGTCTCTCACCACTGCACCAGGTGAATGCTCCCTTCCCAGTCTCACTATCAAGCTTACACCCCTGCCCCTCTCTCACCACTGCAATTGTTCATGACTCTCTCTCTCGTCCAATGCCTGCAGGCAGACATTTGCTGGCCACTCTCTCCCAAACTCCCACATCCTGTACCCCACTCTCTCTCTGCTTTCAGGAAGCCCCGCAAACACTGTGCATAAATGCCCTGACCCACCTCTGTTATCACATCCCAGTCTAACCACTACACCTTTAAGCATCTTCTCAGCAATGCACCTTTTTCCTACTTTCATTAACATGACTTCACCTCCAATAACATCACCTTGTCCAGACGGAGCCTCTTTCTCAATACTTCACCTGCATGCCCCCACCGACCCCCCTCTTCACACTCAGTTGCACGACCTCACTAACTACTTAGCCTACACTCCTCCTCTTGCCAAGCCAATATACAATCCTCCTTTATTCCATGCATGCATTTCCCCCTTGATGTCACCCCACTGCAGAAAGTGCAATATAATGCCCTTGAACCTCAACTACCCCCACCCCTACCTGTCCACCCTCCTCCATCCCCCCTTCCAATATTCTTGCCAACCCAACACCGCAGAGTTTGGCAGACTGCATATATATATATACATATACACACACACACACACACACACACACACACACACACACATATATATATATATATATATATATATATATATATATATATATATACACACACACACACACACACACGTTTTTTACAAAGACTTAGGCAGTAAAAGACACACTCACCTAACATATTTACTGTACACCAAGCTCAGAATACAGAGTTTCACCATGTTCCAGTTCGTGTTATTGTACTTCATAAGGTTCAACGCCATAGCCACATGGGAATGACAGTTGTCACAACATAAATTGTGCTGGAACCAAAACAAAAGAATTTTACATACAAAATGTGAATCACAGATCAACAGAGGAGTAAAAATACCAAACAATGTATATAATGTTTTTGATGGAGGATATTATACCATCACAAATAATAGCAGGCAAAAAGGATTTCTTAAAAGTGCCTAGATATGACCATATAATTAGGCAGAGCAGAGATCAACAACTGAATCCTTAAGATATCTGACTGTGCATAGCAGCCCGATTACTAGATGATCTTTCTGAAATCAGAAATACTGAGAGACAATTAGGAGGGACCAGGAACAGTTGAAAAAAAACTTACTAATAGATTAGAGGCTGTTCCCTTTTAAAAGTGTAGGCTCACAAACTGATACCCAATCATGTGAGAGAAATTTTAAAAATGTGTTTTTTTCGTAGTACAAGAATGGTTGCCCAATGTGAACAGTTTCACTTTATTTTCTAAGCTCAGTGAAGATGTATAATGCAAAGTGAACATTCACTTTGCAAAGTTAAAAGTCATTATTTTAGTAAATCAACGCCTTTTCTGATGGTTTTAGAGAGGGAGGTAAAGCAGAACTCCAGGCTAAGAGCTAAATACACAGTGTCTCACAGAAGTGAGTACTCCCCTCACATTTTTGTAAATATTTTATTATATCTTCATGTGACAACACTGAAGAAATGACACTTTGCTACTATGTAAAGTAGTGAGTGTGCAGCTTGTATAACAGTGTAAATTTGCTGTCCCCTCTAAATAACTGAACACAGCCATTAATGTCTAGACCGCTGGCAACAAAAGTGAGTACACCCCTAAGTGAAAATGTCCAAATGTGGCATAATTAGCCATTTTCCCTAATGTGACTCCTTAGTGTTACAAGGTCTCAGGTGTGAATGGGGAGCAGGTGTGTTAAAATTTGGTGTTGTCGCTCTCACTGTCTCATACTGGTCACTGGAAGTTCAACATGGCACCTCATGGCAAAGAACACGGAGGATCTGAAAAAAGAATTGTTGCTCCACATAAAGATGGCCCCTAGGCTATAAGAGCAGCAGCACGGTAGCCAAGACCATACAGCAGTTTAACAGGACAGCTTCCACTCAGAACAGACCTCACCATAGTTGAGTGAACGTGATCCGTGTCATATCCAGAGGTTGTCTTTGAGAAATAGATGTATGAGTGCTGCCAGCATTTCTGCAGAGGTTGAAGGGGTGGGGGGGTCAGCCTGTCACTGCTCAGACCGAATCAGGTCTGCTCAGGCCGCACACTTTATCAAATTGGTCTGCATGGCTGTTGTCCCAGAAGGAAGCCTCTTCTTAAGATGATGCACAAGAAAGCCCGCAAACAGTTTGCTGAAGACAAGCAGACTAAGGACATAGATTACTGGAGCCATGTCCTGTGGTCTGATGAGACCAAAGATAAACTTATTTGGTTCAGATGGTGTCAAGCGTGTGTGGCAGCAACCAGGTGAGGAGTACAAAGACAAGTGTGTCTTGCCTACAGTCAAGCATGGTGGTGGGAGTGTCATGGTATGGGGCTGCATGAGTGCTGCCGGCACTAGGGAGCTACAGTTCACTGAGGGAACCATGAATGCCAACATGTACTGTGACATACTGAAGCAGAGCATGATCCCCTCCCTTTGGAGACTGGGCAGCAGGGCAGTATTCCAACATAACGACCCCAAACACACCTTCAAGACGACCACTGCCTTGCTAAAGAAGCTGAGGGTAAAAGGTGATAGACTGGCCAAGCATGTCTCCAAACCTAAAGATTGAGCATCTGTGGGGCATCCTCAAATGGAAGGTGGAGGAGCGCAAGGTCTCTAACATCCACCAGCTCCGTTATGTCCTCATGGAGGAGTGGAAGAGGACTCCAGTGGCAACCTGTGAAGCACTAGTGAACTCCATGCCCAGGAGGGTTAAGGCAGTGCTGGAAAATAATGGTGGCCAAACAAAATATTGGAACTTTGGGCCCAATTTAGACATTTCCACTTAGGGGTGTACTCAATTTTGTTGCCAGCGGTTTAGACATTAATGGCTGTGTGTTAAGTTATTTTGAGGGGACAGCAAATTTACACTATTATACAAGCTGTACACTTACTCCTTTACATTGTAGCAAAGTGCCATTTCTTCAGTGTTGTCACATGAAAAGATATAATAAAATATTTACAAAAATGTGAGGGGTGTACTCACTTCTGTGAGATACTGTATATACTGGGGCAGTTTAAATGATCAGTTCACCTTATGTTACACCAGTAGTCAAGGTGTACCATGTAACAGGTTACTGTTGCGCAGCCCCTGCACAGGCCCCACCCTTCTATTCCTTGATCCTGCATTTTGACAGGGGGCCGGGGATCTTTTCTGGCACACAATTAAACGCGACCGTGTGGGGTTCCGCCCTCCCGGTCACGTAACTGTCAGTTATTGTGGCTGACGACTTGTAGTTCTCAATTAACTACCAGGGGGCTGATGAGCACTCTAGGTAGTTCATTGATGTTTTTCTGTCATTCAGTAATTAACTGCCCATAAGATGTACAGAAAGTCAGCTACACTGACAGTCTGAAAGAGCCTGAGATTGCACCTGCAATCTGCTGATCGCAGGTGCAATGCTTTACAGGCTCCTAGTAAAAAAAAATAAATGCACATTTTTTTTTTTTACAAAGATTAACTAATCCTTTAACCTGTCAAAGCTGTCTGGCCATTTCTAAGATTTGCACAGCTCTACCAACCAACAGAATCAGAGAAGGAATCTGGTTTGTCTCCACTTTTGTTAAGCACTACAGCTAAATCACTTCCCTACCCTCACCCTGCGACTGGGCAGTGAAGGAGAAGCAGTACCCTATTAAGCTCAACCATCTGCTCTCTCCTGCTGTCAATATGTTCCTTGCCATCACATGTGCAATGTAGCAGAGCCTTATTGGTTCCTAGTGCTACATTTATGGGTTTTCAGTCTGAGTGCTAAAAGAGGCCAATTCCAAGTCAATCCAGATGCTTATACTATGATTATCATCATTATTCAAAATTTATATAGCGCCAACAGTTAGTGCAGCGCTTTACAATATAAAGGGAGACAGTACAGTTACAATACAATAAAAAAACAAGGAATAAGAGGGCCTGCTCATAAAAGCTAACAATTAATAGGGTGGGGCAAGTGGTACAAAAGGTTATAACTGTGGGGGAAGAACTGATGGACATGATAAATGTCTAATTGGAAGCGTGATATTCTTCACTGAAGAGATGAGTTTTCAGGGATCGCCAAAACGGCAGTCAGAGTAGGGAACAGTCGGACAAGTTGAGGGAAAGAGTTCCAGGGATGGGAGAAGCTCTGGCGAAGTCCTGGAGACGAGCATTTAAAAATACATTACATTTTGTAATGAATATACACCATCTTGCCAAATGTATTGGGACACCTGCCTTTACACGCACATGAACTTTAAAGTGTTACTAAACCCACAACAGTAAAATCAGTCTGTATATGCAATAAAGCATGCTTGTTATACTCACTGTGGAACCTACAGGCGAAACTCGAAAAAATTAGAATATCGTGCAAAAGTTCATTTATTTCAGTAATGCAACTTAAAAGGTGAAGCTAATATATCAGATAGACTCATTACATGCAAAGCAAGATAGTTCAAGCCGTGATTTGTCATAATTGTGATGATTATGGCTTACAGCTCATGAAAACCCCAAATCCACAATCGCAGAAAAAATGAGAATATTACATGCAATCAATAAAACAAGGATTGTACAAAGAACAAGATCGGACCTCTGAAAAGTATAAGCATGCATATGTACTCAGTACTTGGTTTGTGCCCCTTTTGCAGCAATTACTGCCTCAATGCGGCGTGGCATGGAAGCTATCAGCCTGTGGCACTGCTGAGGTGTTCTGGAAGACCAGAATGCTTCAATAGTGGCCTTCAGCTCTTCTGCATTGTTCTGTCTCATGTCTCTCATCTTTCTCTTGGCAATGCCCCATAGATTCTCTATGGGGTTCAGGTCAGGCAAGTTTGCTGGCCAATCAAGCACAGTAATCCCACGGTCATTGAACCAGGTTTTGGTGCTTTTGGCAGTGTGGGCAGGTGCAAAGTCCTGCTGGAAAATGAAGTCAGCATCCCCATAAAGCTCATCTGCGGAAGGAAGCATGAAGTGCTCCAAAATCTCCTGGTAGACGGCTGCATTGACCCTGGACTTAAGGAAGCACAGTGGACCAACACCAGCAGATGACATGGATCCCCAAATCAACACAGACTGTGGAAACTTCACACTGGACTTCAAGCATCTTGCAGTGTGTGCCTCTCCATTCTTCCTCCATACTCTGGGTCCTTGGTTTCCAAATGAGATGCAAAAGTTGCTCTCATCAGAAAAGAGGACTTTGGACCACTGAGCAACAGAGCAGATCTATTTTTCTTTAGCCCAGGTAAGACGCTTCTGATGTTGTTTGTTGTTCAGGAGTGGCTTTGACAAGAGGAATACGACATTTGAAGCCCATGTCCAGGATCCGTCTGTGTGTGGTGGCTCTTGATGCACTGACTCCAGCCTCAGTCCACTCCTTGTGAAAGTCCCCAACACTTTTGAATGGCCTTTTCCTGACAATCCTCTCCAGGCTGCGGTCATCCCTGCTGCTTGTGCACTTTTTTCTTCCACACTTTTCCCTTCCACATAACTTTCTATTAACCTCCTTAGCGGTGTTCCCGAGTGTAGCTCGGGGTAAAATTTCTATACCAAAAGCGGTAACCCCGAGCTACACTTGGGCTTACCATGCGGCGCTGCTCTGGGGGTCCCTGCAGCACTTACCTTGTCCTTCGCACCCGCGATGTGGCCCCTCCAGCGTCCCCGGCCATCTCCTCCGGCCGGTGCCGGCATCCGGCTTCTGTGTTCCGGTCCCTGTGACGTCGGGACGTACGGGCGCCGGAACCGGCAGGAAATTTGAATTTTTTAAAAAATGGAATTTTTGCTGTCATTGCTATTTCAATGCATTTCACATACATTTTGTCCCTAGTGCTTTGTCCTGTGCCCTGCCTGCATTTTGAATGTTCTTTCTGCCTGGAAACTTAGACAAGTCCATGGCGTCCAAAAAGCGTCCCTTTACGTCAAAAGCGGTTTTAGAACAGCGATAGTAAATCAGAACCACTTGCAGAATTGAGTGATGATTCGTGGGGAAATTCGTCATCAGACACTGAAAACAATTTTGCGACTTTGCTCAGCGATGTGCGAATTTGCCTCTGTATTTCAAATTTCAGTGTTTTTGGTTTGATTATATTATTGAATTAAATTTATTATTATTATATTATTATTTTTTATGATTATTTATTAAATTATAATTCATGATTTCGTGTTTCAAATTTTATCATATCCGGAATGTTTAATAGACTTTTGTTCGGACAGATTTCAGTGAGTTATTCCTAAAAATTACAGCCTACAATAAAAAACTACATATTTCCATGCAACAAAATGGTACCGCTTTCAGCACAAAAAATCGGAAAGAATCATACCGCTAGGGAGGTTAATGTACTTTGATACAGCACTTTGGGAACATCCAACTTCTTTTGCAATTACCTTTTGAGGCTTTCCCTCCTTATAGAGGGTGTCAATGATGGTTTTCTGCACAACTGTCAGGTTAGCAGTCTTTCCCACGATTGTGATTCCTACTGAACCAGACAGAGACCATTTAAAGGCTCAGGAACCCTTTGCAGGTGTTATGGCTTAATTAGCTGATTAGAGTGGGACACTGAGCCGAAAATATTGCACCTTTTCACAATATTCTAATTTTCTGAGATTGTGGATTTGGGGTTTTCATGAGCCATATAATTGCCATTTTCATGTAAGCCATAATCATTACAATTATGACAAATCACAACTTGAAATATCTTGCTTTGCATGTAATGAGTCTATCTCATATATTAGTTTCACCTTTTAAGTTGCATTACTGAAATAAATTAACTTTTGCACGATATTCTAATATTTCGAGTTTCACCTGTAAGGGGTAATCCTCTGCTCTGTGTAAAAATGCTGTTTGATCCTCTTCTTCCAGTGTCCACCTCTTATCACCTGATAAGATATATCGTGTGGAGACACTGTACATATGCTTAGTTCAGTGTGTATTGCTAGAGAGGTTTTTTTTTTTTCTTGGGAGAATGCATGTGATCAGCACAGGGCCAATCAGCACTGCTCAGAGGTCAGGAGTTTTGCATCCTCCTAGAGCAGAAGGAAAACTGCTACTACAAGCTTTACCAGTGCTCTGCAAACAATGATAGAAGTCACAAGACTGCTCTAACTACTGATGAGAAAAAAAGTATTTAGCAGTTTAGAGTTACTAAAATAATTGCATTCCCATGTAGTGTGTACTGTGGGAGACCACATAGAATGAATGCAGGGTCCTGGATTTAGTAACACTTTAATGGCATCCCAGTCTTAGTCCGCAGGGTTCAATATTGAGTTGGCCCACTCTTTGCAGCTATAACAGCTTCAACTCTTCTGGGAAGGCTGTCCACAAGGTTTAGGAGTGTGTCTATGGAAATGTTTGAACATTCTTCCAGAAGCGCATTTGTGAGGTCAGGCACTGATGTCTCTGTCATTTTATTTGGCCTACCACTTTGTGGCTGATTTGCTGTTGTATAATACCACTAACAGTTGACTGTGGAATATTTAGTAGCAAGGAAATTTCACGGATGGACTTACTGCACAGGTGATAATCTATCACAGTACCACGCTTGAATTCACTGAGCTCCTGAGAGCGACCCATTCTTTCACAAATGTTTGTAGAAGTCTGCATGCCTAGGTGCTTGTTTTTATACACCTGTGGCCATGGAGGTCATTGCAGCACCTGAATTAAATGATTTGGAGGGGTGTCCCACTAATTTTGGCATTATCTGCCTTTGCTTTGTGCATTCCTTATATCTGCTTAGGCTGGCCATACATTATACAATTATCTGCAGATTTTCTGCCCAATTTCCTTTAGATTTACCTTCAACTATGTAGTGCAAGGGCCTGCCTAATTGGATACAACTGAAAGTGTTGTTTAGGTTTGTCCTCCTATTATATGGTTTTTGGTAAATCTAAACCAAAAATCTGCAGATAATTGTATAATGTATGGCCAGCCTTAGAGTTACTCCTTAAAACTGATGCAAATTTGATGTGAAAAAGAACTCACCATGCGATGTTTATACTCTTCAGAAGCTTCGTGGACAGCTGTATCCCATGGATTGGGACCACTGGCATAGACAAAATTAGGATCTAATTGCCAGTATCTAAAAAGAAATATTTTTGCAGAATGGTGAAGTTTGGAAACATAAAAATTTACAGATGAATATTGTTATTGTAAAAGAAGCCACTTACTTGACTGGTTTCCCAAATGCCATACAATCTTCCTGTAAACAAAGATTTTTATGTTACATATAATTGCAGTTATCCCACAACCCAAGATGATCAGCAGAAAAATATATCTTTGATGACCTCAATAACCAAAACACTGTTGTTTTCTAATTCATATAAGAAACAAAAACCTCAAATTAGTTGCTATTGGCATTACTTTTGTCTCCTTCAGTTTACAAAAAAGTGATGACAAAAATGAGTGACCATGGCGTGGGTTGGTTGCCGATTCCCTGAGCTCTGCTTTTTCCAAGGGCTTTGCCAAACAACATGGACAGGATAGGAAATGCTAAGCGGTTTTCAGCTTGGATCATGCTGGCTAATTGCTGATGACTGAGTTCTTGGGTTTACTGGGCTGCTACTACTACTATCAAACTGGAATTTTAGTTCTACCTCCTTGCAGAAGCCTATCAACGGTGTCAGTGAGATCAACAGCTAAACCTTTTGTCTGACAGCATTATCTCCTTCACTCTTCCTTTATTCTTCTGTCCTCAACACTGAAACTCCTTGACTGTCAGTTGGCAGTTTTTAGTGGAGTTTCGGTGAAGTTTCCTGGAAGTCCTGTGCAGCCAGCCACCCCCACCTTCATCTTCTCCTATTATCAATCTTGTTGCCTCCAGCTGTTTCTTAAACTGCCAGAATGATTCACACCAGATTACATTGAGCTGTAAATAATGAAGTACAAAATCCTTGCCATTACCAGCTAAATCACCTCCTGCCTTCAGTTTGTGTCACTTAGCAGCTACCAGTCATCCTCCAATAACTCATTTATCCATCCATCCAGGTGTACTACTGACATCCATCAATCCATTCATCCAGTGTACTGCAGCTATATTTGTGTCAAACTGTGGGCTGGTAATTTTTGTCCCAGTGTACAAGACTGATCTGAGAAGTGCAGCAATACCATTTTCACGGACATCAGTCACCCATCTATTTAAAGGTATGGCAGCGGAACCAGTACCAGAAAAAGCCCTTGGTGGCCTTGCTGGCCCAAATAAACTGGGGACTTTGGTGCAAGAATTCACGGGAGTCCCAAAACATTTTGACCTCCACCTATTACTGCTATCCATCCCAATCCAGCATGCTGACGGGATCTGCGGGATTAGAGTATGCTCTTCAGCCTGTAAACCTGCTAGCTGCCAGTCCCTGTGTCTTTGCTGAGCTGAGAACTGTGATGTGCATTAAGAGAGTGTGGAATATTAGACAGTAGAACGAGTAAAGACATGGGTAGCTGGGGGTCTTTGTGTGATCACTTGTGTGTCTCCATTTACACTAATACCCGTTTTTATCCAGCCATTCCCGTATCTGAAAACACAGTGGTGCACTGCAGAGGAACTTGTGTCAGCAAAATCCAGAGAAGCCTGCTGGTGGGAGATCCTAGAATTAACACCATCGGGGCCTCTGCAGTATTATCAGCTGCCTCAATACAGGTTGTACTTAACAGCAGATAGTCTTATCTATGACAAGAGGGAGAAAACTCACTGGGCCAGAACGAGGAGGGGTTTCCAAGCTCCAAGTCAACTAGCATGCTCCGCTTTATGCCATCAGTCCTTGGCTCAGCTCCTGGGGCAGTTCCCGGGGCAATTCCAGCTTCAGCGAGTAGTGAAAGCACTGCTACTGGCTAAGTGGATACAGTGGGTTTGGTTGGTTCAATGGGTCCCAGTAGTGTTCAGGGGTCACTGGATTTTCTGGGCCCCACAGACCCTATTCTGGTAACACAACTTCGGGCCCTACACATGCTACAGAGGTCTTTGTAGCTCTGGTCCTTGAGGAAGTGGGCGAGTGCAGTTTGCATGGAAATATATCTCAGGAAGTTTGTTACAGTGAATGAAATAAGTATTTGATCCCCTGCTGATTTTGAATGTTTGCCCACTCACAAAGAAATGATCAGTCTAAATATCGAATGGTAGGTGTATTGTAATACTGAGAGACAGAATAGCAACAAAAAATTCAAAAGAAATGCATGTCTAACAAATTATGCACGGATTTGACCCCCTATCATTCAGCAGGATTTCTGGCTACCAGGTGCCTTTCATACAGGTAACAAGCTGAGATGAGAAACAGTCTCTTAAAAGGTAGTGCTGCTAATCATTTTGTTACCTGTATAAAAAAAAAAAAGACACCTGTCAACAGGAGCAATCAGAATCCAAACTCTCCACTATGGCAAAGACCAAAGAGCTGTCCAAGGATGTCAGGGACAAGATTGTAGACCTATACAAGGCTGGACTGGGCTACCAACCTATCGCCAAGCAGTTTGGCGAGAAGGTGACAACAGTTGGCACAATCATTCGCAAATGGAAGAAACACAAAACAACTGTCAGTCTCCCTAGGTCTGGTGCACCATGCAAGACCTCACCTCGTGGAGTGTCAATGATCATGAGAAAGTGAGGAATCATCCCAGAACTACACGTGAGGATCTTGTCAATGATCTCCAGGCAGCTGGGACACAGTCACCAAGAAAACAATTGGTAACACACTACACTGACAAGAATTGAAATCCTGAAGTGATCGCAAGTTCCCTCTGCTCAAGAGAGCACATGTCCAGGCCCATCTGAAGCTTGCCACTGAACATCTGAATGATGCAGAGGAGGACTGGTTGAAAGTTTTGTGGTCAGATAAGACCAAAATCGAGCTCTTTGTCATCAACTCAACTCGCCGTGTTTGGAGGAGGAGGATTGCTGCCTATGACCCCAAGAACACCATCCCAACTCGAGTTGCCAAACGTCAGCCAACTACAGGAAACGTCTGACCTCTGTGATTGCCAACAAGGGATTTGCCACAAAGTACTAAATCATGCTTTCTGAAGGGGCTCAAATACTTATTTCCCTCATGAACATGCAAATCAGTGCATAATTTGTTAGACATGCATGTCTTTTGAATTTTTTGTTGCTATTCTGTCTCTCAGTGTTACAATACACCTACCATACGATTTTTAGACTGATCATTTTTTTGCTCCCCTGCTGATTTTGAATGTTTGCCCACTCACAAATACTTATTTCTTTCACTGTAGTTACTATGCCTTTCGAGCATAGATCAACATATGATCCATCCATGGCAGTAACACAGTGCTTACCGGGTTCATTGGAGGCGCAGGAATCTTCAAACAACATACCAATAATGATACCTACTGTAATTGTTGCATCTGTTACTTCAGCTTCTCCTGCTATAGCAGTGGCAGGAACTGTACTGAACACAGTATCCACATTGATCATATCTAGTCCTATAACATCTACATCAGCAATGCCAGCGTCAACTACTTCTATAAGTCTCTAGAAGCCTCTCCACGCCAACCATCCCAGGGATCATCAGCCCTAGGGGAGTTAGCTTCACGCAGTCTAGACCCAAAACTGATATAAGATCTGGGTGAGCAGTCCATGAGCGAGGGGGTAATGAGTGTTCTACGATTGCTTTCTCCAAAACAGGATCTGGAGGCAATTCCAACTAGAGGAGACTTGGAAAACCTGGCACAACGCTTAAAAGGGGTGCTCTGCTAGGAGATAACTGAGGTGCGGGAACACGTTGAGAGGGTAGAAACAAGAGCATGTACATTGGAGGCAGCAGGTGACATTGTGAATTCCTGGCTATCTTAAAGTCTCTTCAATCAATGACCAGGCAAAGGCTCACTGCGCTTTTTCTTCGCGTGGAAGACGCAGAGAAACCGAAACCAAAAAGGAACAATATCCACCTCAGGGGTATACCCGAGTCTACAAGCAGTCCAGAACTCAGACATACATTATTTGTAACTCCATTGTGGGTAAAACAACTGATGCGGAGCTGGAAATTGATAAGAGTTCCTCGAGTTACTAATTCTAGATCTTGACAGGACTCCCCACGGGATGTACTTTGTCGAATTAATTTTTTCAATATTAAAGAGATGATCCGTAAAGCATGGGAGATGGGATGGATAGAATTTGACAGGGCACAGATACAAGGTTTACCAGACTTATCCAAAAACAATCTGTGGATGAGATGCCTAATGTGCCCCTTACTTGAGCATATCAAAGCATCAGTGGCATCTTATAGATGGAAATATCCATTTCATTTGTTGATCAAGAAAAATGGCCAGTCTTTATCTCTTCATAATCACAGTCAACTACAGGACCATTTCTCTTTTCTGGGTGCAGCCCCGATAGAAGTGCCGGATTGGTTAGATATATTTTGAAGACTGCCCTTAAATATCATAAATGAATATTAAGAGTTTGAGGACTCTTCACTCCTGTTGGTTTGGGTTTAGGAATGCACAGGGTCTTTGAGGTTCGATACTTATGTTTTTTTTTGTTCCCTCTTCTTTCTTCTATTGCCTGTTAAAGAAACTGAATTATAGTTAGGCCAGTACCCTGTGTCCAGACTAAAGGCATCACTCATGAATAGTTACTTGTATAGGATTTTGTTTCTATTAAGGAGGATTTAAGATGAGGGAAATGTCTGGAGACAAGGGATAAACTGACCAATTTGGTTTGTGTTTTTCACCAGGTTATGGGGAGGTTTTTTTTCTTTACTGGTCTCCATTCGGCGAGGAGTGGGGATGGTGGGCGGCTGGTGAAGAAAGTCATAGGAATTACAGTGGCTTGTACAGATAATGTAATATAAGATTTGTCTTTCTTCTGGGGGGAGGGCTCCTTTCCTTCTCCCACTTGCTGTCCCGGGGGTGTAAGTTGGGAGGAAAAATCCCTTTTTTTTTTGTGTTTTTTGGGGGGAGGTCGGGCACCACTGGCCCATGCCTAGATGGGTACCGTGTGGGGTGGTTTCCTGGAGTGCTCTATGAGGGAAGGAAGATTATTTGGGTGATACAGCTCCACAAATAGACATTTCGGAGGACCTTGGAGCTGGTGGCTGGCTTATATGACTACCACTTGGATGTACTCAGAATAGTTGTGGAAAGGAGAAGTGATATTTCTTTTGGCATTACATCAGTGCATACAGGTGTCCTAATGGACAGTACATGTTGACGCCTGTCCTGTTGTGGGATGACGAGTGTCATCCACTTGACCCCCTTTTT